GAGCCGGACGGGAGTCACGACGCTGTCCGCGGCCAAATGGCGCAGGGCCGCGAGGCCGCGGAGCTGCGATCGGCCGCACGAGGCTTATTGGCCGTGATTAATACTCGCCTGCCTGCACTCTCGCTCCGTCTCTCTCGCACCCACACTGGACAACACACTCTAGTGCGAGACAGAGAGAGAGCGACGAGAGCGCTGTTCAAAATCAGCCTTGGACATGCGGGCTCCGCGAAAGGTCGCGCGGTGCGGGCGCTTTGCTGCTGTTCGATGCGAGGAAAGCCCACCCACACGAAGATGGACCCGTTTACGACCAGTTTTTGCACTCCTCGGTATTTTCTTCGTTTTCGGAGCAGTGCCGGCGGAACATTACAAATGGAGGCATCCAAATCCGGTTTTCAGTGCCGTACCTGACCCCCCGCCCTAGTCACGCCCGCCACCACACCCCGCCCCGCCCCACCGCGCCGCACCGCGCCTCGCCTCGCCCCGCCCCACCACGCCCCACCACGCCCCGCCACGCCCCGCCACGCCACGCCTCGATCGCTTCGTGGAGGTCCAGGGCGTCCAGTGTGGAGTCAGACACGACAGGGCGCGGGGCGATACTACAGAACACAACAACAACAACAACAACAACCAAAAACGACAACAATAACAACAACAAAGCGAGGCTAGAAACAGAAACGCGCAGAGGAAGATGCTTGCAGTGTGGGGGCGCTCGCAGCGAGCTCGCAGCCCCCTCTGATGTTCTTGTCTGGCATTGGCGATCGTGTCGGGATAGCGGCGATCCAATGTGCCGGGCAAAGCCGATCCGGGCGTACAGCTTGACGCAAGGCTTGACGGGCCGAGGGGGCTCCCAGCTCTCGGGCAGCTCCCAGTGGTCCGAGTCCGAGCGGTGCTTGCGTCGCTCCGTCCCTCTCGCGCTCGTGGGGCGTCCCCTGGCGCCCCGCGGGGGTGCGAGAGAGACGGAGCGACGAGGCAGCACCGTTCGGAGTCGGCCGGCCTCACCGGCACCCGCACGGGGGCGCCGTCACTCAGACCTATCGAGCCTCGATCCATCGAACGAGCATCGAGTTTCGTCGGGACGCGACCGCGGCGGGGTTGAGTTTCCAAAAGAAATTCACTGCTTTTCGTTTTGCTTTTTGTTTGTCGAGAACGTGCGTTTCGATGCCGCAAGCTGGGCTGCGCTGCCCACCGGGTTGCCTACCCTCGAGTCCGCAGGGGCTCTGGACGGGACGCAGCAAAAGCGAAGCGCAGCGATGACTTGAGTCTTGAGCCAAACCAGGGATGGAGCAGTACGGAGTTGAAGGAAGGCCCTTGCTGGGGTGTTCTGGGCTTCCTCATGACAGTGTAGGCGGCGGCCAGGCGGCGCTGCGGCGGTGCGGAGGGGAGGGCCTTCCTGGCGCCACGTCCCTACGAGTCCCTGCCCTGCCCGGCCCTGCCCGGCCCGTCGTGTTCGGGACCAGCAGCGAGTGCGCGTGTGTGTGAGGGGTGTGAGTGTGTGCGTGAGTGGGAGGGACCGGCCGACCGGCCCCGCCGCGCGGCTCGGCCAGCAACGGCGCAGCAGCGCCCGATCGGCCGAGGCAATTTAACAAAGATGCGGGCGTCCATGTTGGACCCGCCCCGCCCCGCCCCACCCCGCCCCGCCCCACCCCGCCCCACCCCGCCCCGCCCCACCCCGCCCCACCCCGCCCCCTGGCCGCCACCCCACCCCCGCGGGGAGTCTTTCCGCTTGTCCAACCCTTAGAAAACAAGCGCTCGGCGTGGCGGGGCGGCGGGGCCGTGGCGGGCAGGCGGTGCAGGCAATGGATTGGAAGGACGGAATGAACTCGTAATCCCGAAAGCAGCGAGCAATTAGAATATCGCCCTCCCCGCGCAGCGTCTCTCTCTCTCTCTCTCTCTCTCTCTTTGCGCTCGGATACGACGCCGGCCTGGTAAGATTCCCGAAGTACCGCCACTTTGCTGCGAGTTTGTCGACTTTGTTGCCCGTAGCGTGCACCTCGGTCCAAGGGGAACCATTCGAACCACTCGCACCATTTTATGCGACACATGCATTCCCCGCCGTGCCAATGATAAAACCCTTGATAGCTGCTGAAGTAGTGGTGCTGCGTTCGGGGCTGGCGGCGCGTAGCGCGTAGCGTGGCGGCGGCACGGCGGCACGGCGGCACGGCACGACACAGCCAGCTCGGCGCGGGCCGCAGCCAGCCCGCGGAGTGACTAATGATTTCCAACCCTTGCCCGCCGCTGCCGCCTCGCTGCCGCCACGCTGCCGGCAGTCCCGTCCCGTCTCCTCCCGTCACACGCCGGCCGAGGCCGAGAAGACCGCGGTAACGGTGGCGGCGCGGGCCGCGGATAGGGCGGTCTTGGCGTCGCCGGGCATCGCCAGTCCGCCGCGAGCAGCCAGGCCGCCAGGCCGCCAGACAGCCACACGGCGCCTGCGATTGCCCGCACGTCCCGAAAACACGCGCGTGGCCGAGCGGGCCGAGCTGCACGCCAAATAGCGAGGGCCGACAGTGCCTATGCGGGGACGTAGCCGAAGACTGAGGTTGGCCACCCTTTCTGCACTGGTTCAGCATGGCGTAAGCCACACTTCCTGAGAGGGTGTTTTGCCACACCGGTTTGCCTCTTTGCATCTTGCCTGCTCGGTGGAAAGAATTTTCCACCCCTCCCCCACCTCCTCCGCTACTGTCCCGGTTTCCAGGGGCGGTATTTGCTGTTCCCCGCGGGCCGAAAAAGGGCTGCCGCTGTAATGGAGCCACTTCCCCGTCGGCGGCGGCGTCGGCCCTGATTTTTGCCTTGCAGCGACTGTCTGTCCGTGGCACGGCGGCACGGCGGCGGCACGGCGGCGAGGCGCGCCAAACTGCGCGGCCCGTCAGCCGCCGCGCCGCTCGCTGTCAGCTGCAGGCTCCAGCCGGCCGGCTGCAGCGCGGCGCGGCCGGCACGGCGCGGCACGGCGTCAGCGATACAAATCGGGAAAGCCGAAAGTTTCGGTGATGAATAGCGACGCGGGCAGGAAGGGCTGCAGATTGCGCGGCCAGCGGAGGGCGGCCTGGAGGCCTGGGGGGCTTGTCTCGTTTCGCAGTGCAGGCGAGCATGAGTCGGGCCCGAAATGGCATACGATCATGTGTGGTCTAGCCCTTAATGGTAATGGCGGCGCGGGTAGGCAACCACCAAGCGGACGGCTGCCTGCGAGGGCTCGGCGGCGACGCCTTTGAGCGTCCCGGTGGACAGGGCGCGGCGGCGCGGCGGCGCGGTCACACTGCAGACAGGTGGGACTGGGACCAACGGGGACCAACTTGGGACACCGCGGTGGGACCGGGTTCGTCAGACAGCCTTCATCGGGCCGCCGCCTGCCGCCCGCCGACAGAGAGTCGCTTTGGTCCCCGGGGAGAGATACGTCCTTCGCCGGAATTTTCTGCTGTCGTTGTTTTACATCTATGTGAACTCATCGAGCGCGCCGGACAAGCAAGCTTTCAAAGCAATCTCTCTCTCTTTTTTTTCGACTTCGGGGACGGACGGAAGGGAGGGAGGGGGTGTGAACTCAGAAGATATTCTTACTCTGCCACGCCGCCGGATCGCCCTTTTCGCTGGCCTGTCACAGCGACTGTGAGTGCGTGTGTAGGTGTGTGTGTGTGAGTTGGAGTGTGTGCGGGTTGCCTATGTGGCATTGTGATTAATGGTTGTGAGCCGCGCGATGCCGCAGAGCAGCACACTGCTACACACTGCCAAGACACCGCCTTCGAAAAAGCGACTTCTTCTCCGCCTTGAAGCAGTCCGGCACCGCCTGCCCGGCCTGGCCCATGCTGGCGCAGCGGGGCTCCCAGCACCCAACCCACACCGACGCTTCCCTGGTTCTGCTATCGCACACCTGTCTGCCTCTCCCACTCGTGACGGCTCCACGAGATTCCCGGTCCGGTCCAAGTCCTGGCTGTGCTCTCGTGTTCGCGAAACGCCGCGCCGCCTAGTTTGCTCTTAGATCGTACGTTATTTTTAATTCTCCCGGTATTTTTTTTTGCGGTGTTACGGGGCAAGTACAACTAATTCGTGGTGGGTGCACTTTCCTGCTCGGATAGTTCACAATAAAATCCCCATGAAAAACGAAAATATGAAAGAAACAGTACCGTATCCCACGCGTCGCACGCACATCGCACATTGAGTCGCTAATGCGGAGAGACAGTATCACTCTCACTCTCGCCGACAATGACGAGGCCGCCATAAATATTGGCGAGGAAAACGAGGTGGCCGATGCGGCACCGATGTCAGTGCGTGACAACTAAATGCCGTGCCGCCGAGTGCACGAGCACATCACCGCATTGTTCCTCTTTTCGGAAGGGCTTCTTCCCCAGGGGGCTGCCGGGCTGCCGTCGAAGGGTTGTCAAATTGGGCTCGCCAGAAAGGGCTGTCAAACAAACACAGCCCGGCCCGCCTTGCCGCCTTGTCGGCGCGTTTCCGGGATCGGCACGACACGACGATACCCTTGTGAGTAGGAGAGGAGTACTCCTTACTTGTGTGGAAGTTACTTTTAAAAAATTGTGATCTTTTTTTTTGTAAAAAAAATTACTTGTTTGGTCCGTGTCAATAAAGCGACACGCGGAAACGAGGAGGAACGAGATGCTTTTAGTATGCTTGTCCTTTGACCCCTGTATGTCTCTCGCCGTCACTCTCACACACGCACACACGGCAAAAGTACCGCCTGGGATTCCCAGGCGGTGCCTGGAAAATAGGCCCTTTTCCCCATGATGCGCCTGGGAATCCCAGGCGGTACTTTTGCCGTGCACTCACGTGGCTGCACTGGAACACACCTGCGTTCAAGGCCTCCCACACGTCCACCGCGCCGACCAAGCCGACGGTGCGTCTGAAGACTGTCTGAAGACTGTCTGACGGCACATTGAAAGGCACGTCAGTCAAGTCGTGTGCAAAGAGGTCGGTCGAGTCGCCTCACTATGCGGGGGAACGTGAAGCCAAAGTCTCACATTTTTGTTTCGATTTTTTTTATTCATTTTCTCCACTCCAACAGAAATTATCACACTTTTAGTACATTTCGGTTGCATTATTGTAGAGCACGTTTACACTACACAGATGACTGTCTAAAGCAACTTTGTGACAGACAACGGCTTAGACTATTGTGGCACGTAATAAAGATGGGCAACGGAACGTGGAGAGAGTGGATATAAGTTTTGCGTCCCCGAGGTAAACGCACTATAAACGAAATGACTAATAAACTTCTGCAAAATAACATTTTGCATTAAAGGAACAATTAAAAATCAGACAACAATAAAATGTGTATTTACAATGTGCGCCAGTCTTGCATTCACTAAAAGTAAGCAATGGGTGACTTAAATTACAAACATACAATACCTTATGACACAATTTGTATCAGTACTTTCTTCAAAGTAAAAATACTGAGCTCTTTTATCACGACTTTTGCAAGCACAATAAAATTCTCAAATTTAATGAAACCAAATATCCAGGATCAGGAAAACATAACGATGGCACAAAGAAGTTCGAGTTACAACACCGAATCCTAAAACACCTCACATACACAGGACACTCATCGCACCAATTCCTCCAAAAGCTTATTTACCGAAAAATATCATAGATAAGTATTTTATCTGTACATTTTTTCCTACGTACATGAAGAAATAATTGCCTGTTTTGGTTACCAAGTTGTACGTTCTGCACTCTGTTCGACTAATGTCAAGAACCATGAAACATTTTAGTATAATATATATTTCTATAATAAATAATTTCAAAATAGGACCTATTGAAGAACGAGGCAGATAAGTAAGTCACGTTGAAATGGTAGCACCATTCCAAAAACCCAAAACAAATCACAACATGAAATGGTTAAATTTTAACTTGGCTGCTTAAGGTCATTCTTATCGCTGCAACTAGAATACCTATCACGAAAATGAGCCGATGTCACGTACTCAGCAGTGTCTGCACGAATGTAACGAACACAATGTCAAGAAAGGAAGAGACATCTTTCTCGCAAACATACAGAATTGACAGTAACGTTTGTAACCGTGAGGTAAGACTCTCACGGTGTCCGCTGGATGTGGGCACTGGTTTAAACGGAGAGTTATTTACATGTACATCTAGTCACACATGATCAAACACATTACGGGAATCATTTACCTAAACTTCTGGCTTTTAAAATGGCGAAACAAACATCTGATTACAGGGATTATCACAATTGAATGCTCTTCCTATTTACATAACACATATCGACAGGGGGCGTCCTCTGACTACACAAAATAAAATATCACCGACATGCCTGCGCGCTGCATTGGTGCATTATTGTCAACATTTCCACCTAAAATGTACACGGGGTTGGTTCCGACACGAATTGGCGACACTTACAGTGTGGCAGTGATGGCAGGAATCACGGCGTGGGAGCTAACAACTAAGAGGAACTGGGATGCGGCGCTACAGCGGCGTGAGTCCGTAGTCTGACTTTATGACGGGGGAGCACGTCTGCATGGCGGGCATGGCGGGGGTGAGGGGCGTGAGCTGGCCGAGCTGGTGCAGCAACGACGGGGACGTGCCGCCGTCGGCGAGCAGCCCACCACCCGAGCTGTGCCTGCCCCACTGGTGGTGCTGCTGGTGCTGCTGCTGGTGCGGCATGCCCATGAGGTGGTGGTGCTGTTGCTGTTGGTGGTGGTGGTGGAGGCCGTCGCCGAGGTGCTCCTGCTTCAGTCCGCCAGGGGGCGACAGCGTGGTCCCCTGCGACGGCGGCGATCTGGAGTGCCCGCTGGTGGCCAGGCTGTGGCTGAGCGCGGCCAGGGGGTGCATGAGGTCCGGGGACGCCCCGCTGCTGCCCGTGCTGCCCGCGCTGCCCACCGCGCCCCCCTCCGGCGGCAGGTCCATGTCGGGGCTCTCCTTGTTGTTGTTCTGCGTCCGCCGGTTGTTGTTGTTGTTCTTGCGCGTCTTGGCGCCGCCCTTCGGACTGGCGCCCGCCACGGTGGTGGTCACGCCGGCCGGGTTGGTCTTCCGCCGGACGTTCTTGGTGTTGGGGAGCTTGTTGTCCTTCTTCCACTTCATGCGCCGGTTCTGGAACCAGATCTTGATCTGGCGCTCCGACAGCACGAGCGTGTGCGCGATCTCGATGCGTCTCCGCCGCGTCAGGTACCTGTTGAAGTGGAACTCCTTCTCCAGCTCCAGGATTTGGTGGCGCGTGTACGCCGTCCGCTGCCGCTTGGGCTCCATCCCGGGCTGGAAGCCGCCATTGCCTGCAACAAACAGAGCAGCACCGCGTTAGTCTTTCCGGACACGTTTTAACCATGGCTTCCCTCCTATATTTCTATCCGCCTGCTCGAACGCCGCTTTCTTTCGGGCAGTGGACGAGTATCGAAAGAATTCCCGCCGGACGGGCTGCTCGCCCCGGGCCTACCCGCCTACCCACCCAGGGCGGCCGCGCCTCGCCCAGCCCGGGGCACAGCCGCCACGCCCAAACCTTTTCCTCCTGGGGCAGGGAAGGCTGCTGCGCTCGTGACGGGCGGGCTCATGGCTTCGGACGCAGCCGCCGCGGCCCGACTCGGCCAGACTGGGCTGCCCAACTGTCTGACGTCATCCTGCGTCAATTGTCTGGCCGCGCGAGGGCTGAAGAAGGATGCCAGTGCGTGGACTCGAGTCAGCCGAGTGGACAAGCCAGCGCGTTGCTTGAGGGACAAGCCCATTTGAACCACATTCAGTGCCACGTCCAGCGTCGGTGCTCTCAGAGTGGCAATCACCACTGCGCTCACGACGCAACAAGCCAACGCCCTCACATGTTCATCAGCGATAGACAAAAAGTTCAAAAACCGCGCGTGTCAGAGGTTTTCAGGGCAGCGAAACAACGTCAGTCGCGGACAGCACTAGCGGGCGGCAAGTGGGTAGGACGGGCCGGCGCGTCCCTCCCTCCCTCCCCAGCCAGCCCGCCCGGCCGGCTGCCCGGCTGCCTGCCTGCTTGCCTGCCTGCCCGCCCGCCTGCCTGCCTGCCTGCCCGCCTGCCCGCCCGCCCGCTGCCATCACGCTGGGATGGCGCAATGGCCGCACGATGGCACCCTCGGAGCCCATCCCGCCCGACCAGGGACTCGTGGAGGGATGGCACGGAAAATGGATTATTTTTCCGCGCTGCCAGATGTTGCACGGGCCTCGCCCGGGGACGATACTGCCGGCAGCAGCCGCTTCAGACGCCAAGAGCGCACCACTGCCGGAAGTACGAACATTTGGACGCGTCCTTTGAGGCAATGTCAGTTAAGACAATTTACTAAAGGTGGTCTTTACGAGAGAAAAAACGCAGAAAAGAGGATTGGTGAGGTCGCTGGCTTGGGACTGGGACGCTAACGGAGTGCTGAGCCAGACTCATCACGCGAGAAACGGCGCACATGTTGTGCCTTTTTTTGCGACACCGTGTGTAAACAACAACACTTGGCTCATCTCAATATGGCGGTTGCCCAGCCAGCAGAAGCTCATTCCTTTGTTTTGCCTTTCCGGCTGCGCGTTCGATTCGATTTGAAAACTACGCCAACTTTTCGACAAGCTGCAGCACCTGACGCCAGCCCTCCCCCCTCCCTCTCTCACACACAGACATACACACACACACACACGCAGTGGCTGTGGCTCGGAGAAGGGGTGCCGACGGGGAGGCAGGGCTTACGAAGATCCGCCAGTGCTCCACAATGCAATAAAGGCCGGCTCAACGGACTCACACGGCTCATGAGAGCTCACGGGCCGGAGGGTGCGGACTGCAGGCCGACGGCACGCCAGAGGCACGCCAGAGGCACGCAGCGACACCGGGTGGAGGACGGCCCGCAAAACGGGAAAAAGGGGCACTACACAACAAATTCAACTTTTTCTTCGTCATTTCGTGAGGTACGCTTTTGAAGTCTCCTCGACGCACTACGCACGACGTGTGGCGGAATTCTCCAGAGAACAGAGACGGAGAGAGCGGGGAGGGAGAGGGAAAGAGGGCCAGCCAATCGGCGAGGGCGGCAGAAATTGAATGGAGGGAGTGCTGATTGACGCTCCCCTCCGGAGGGGAAGGAGAGATGGGGAGCGTGTGAACGATTCACACACGCCGAGGGCCGAGGGTTAGGGCGAGGGCCGCCATCCCGGCACTTCTTTCCGCAAGGGCTCCTCACAATAACAGCAAGGAAGAAAAGGGAGAAAAAGGAAAATAATGAAGATTTGAACTCACGATCTGGTAACCACCAACCCGATGCGTCATAAGAGAAGTATTGTAATTATTTGTGCTGCGCGAGCAAGATCCCAATGGTTTGACCGTAACTGACTTTTTAAGGTGGTTCGGTTGACCTCTTATCATCAAAAACGCCACAGATCACGTCATAATGAAAATATTCCAGGCTCTAAACCTTCGGCTAGACTGACAAGCACCGACATTTTGGAGTGTACTCCTCCCTAAAGCACACTGCTCATCGGAGGCGAAAGAATTTTTCCTTCCAAGCGGAGGGGGTGGGGGTTTCTCCAGGAGAGAACACACGAAGGCCTGGAATAATAAGACGGGAAAAAGAAGAGCACCGTCTGGGGCCTCGTGTGACGGACACCGCATGCGGCCCCGTCTGACAGCTGCTCGCATGGTGATTGGGCCGGGCTGGGCTGGTCAGACCGCCACGCCATGCCACGCCACGCCGTGCCAGACAAGACCGTCCAGAAGACGAGCCTGCCAGACAGACGTCTGACTTGGGCCCCCGGAGCCCCCTCTTACCCCCACCGCGCGATACGCCTCGACACAGCATGGCTGCAGTCAGACTCTCTCACACACACTGACCAAAAATAAAAGAAATGAAACAAGTCTGGGCCAACATATCTCATAATTTAAAACCAATTTTTCGTTTAATTGAATACAGACAACAAAGTCTCCCTTTCGAACATCGTAGTAACGTCGTTGGCTCGTTTGAGGACGGCCCCTGCCAAGTCATTAGTCACAGCGCGGCGCGCTGTCCATTCACCACCCCACCTTGCGGGCGGACCCAGACTGACTAACCTAGTGCAACCACGAAAAAAGGCGCACAAATTCCTGAAAACTTGCTGGTTGTGGGCCGTCCTGGTTCCTGGCCGAACCGCGGTGAGCAGGATTCCTCGGGCCCCACGGACAGGCCGGAGCCCCGACCCTGCCCCGACCACGCGGAATGCAGAGCGGAATGGATTTGCGGTAATCCGGGGGCCTTACAGCCGACCCTCCTCTTCAACCCCTTTGCTCAACACCGTCACTCCGTGCCCGTGGTATGAAAAATTCACAGGCCTTGAGCTGGCGGCGTGCCGTAAGCCTTGCCGAATTTCCATGTCAAAGTGGGCCGCAAGCCCCGTCCACGCCCACCGCTTCCTCCGCGTGCTCGGCCGCTCGGCACAGGACGCGCACGGCCACCATCCGCTGCCGCAATGCTCCTCGCACACCCACGCTGCTTTGCTGCTTTGACGCCAATCCACCCAACGCCTACCGTGTCGCAAGTCTTTTAATTTTCATTTTCATTTAATTTTTTTTAAGAAAAGAAGAAAAACTGTAACCCGGTCAGAAATGGGTCTTTGAGAAGTCGTCAAATGACATTGATAGACGTCGATGTGGCGTAAAATTTTCACCTACGAACCCTTTAAACCGATATTGATGTGAAATCGATGTTGACTCGAGAACCCATTTGTACCCGGGTCCTAAATCCAGAAGCGTCAAATGGCGTTCAGTTTGGGCGGGAAACCCCCTGCAAAACGTGGCAACACTGGATGACCGTCACCTTGGGCGCATCGTCTCATCGCCAGCAATCATGCAACGTCACGATGGACCCAGACACGCTCACACACAGAGACACAGTCACAGAAGCGGACAGACTCACACACTCACACACACGGGCGCACACACAGACGACCGTGATGCAATGTTTGTTTATTCCATGAGGGGCCATTGGCGGGTTACAACGGAACATCGTCTAGCAGATTAGTCTGAGCTATACAATAATATTGTCACTCTGAGGTCGCCCGGATTAAATGAATGAAATGATTGTATGGTATTCAGTGGGATTCAAGAATCAGTTCACAATAAAAGAAATTGAATGATAGGTCGTACTGAACGCCCAGCACTGTTTACCAAAGTAAGATAATTTTGAAAACGGGATCGAAACGTGTTGCAAGTGTATCTAGGCGAGGAGGAACCAAAAACACACTGCCGTTGACAAAAGCAATTTTTAGATCTTTTTTTGCAAGTACATGCCGCGCCGAAGTAGTGACCCGGAACACCTCGGCAGCGCCACACGCCTGAAGGTCGCGCGGCGGAGAAGGAAGGAAGACGAAAGAAGGAGAGAGGCTCAAAGTGCGCGCGCGGCGGCCCGACGAGACAGACAACGCGTCCGAAAGGATTTTTCAAACAGCGATTCGGCAACGTCGGGCGGCGGGGCGGCGGCGGGGCGACAGTGGCAACGCCGCGCTGCCGGCGGGGCGGGCGGCCGTAGGCGGCCGGGCATGGCTTCTCCGTAAACACGCATTAGGATGCACTGCAACCCGCTCGCACCATTTGTCTTTCGGTGGGTGGTGCCCTGCCCCCGCCCCCGCCCCCTGCCCCCGCCGCGGAGCCCAATGTAGGTCAGTTTTCGGCGGACACGTTGACACGTTCCACGGCCGGCTCCCTTTGCGTGCCGCCGCCTTGCCGCCGCCACCGGGCCGGCCACCGCCTCCGGGGCCTCGGGGGCCTCGGGGCGGGGCTGCGAAAAATCAAAGTGTGTGGCCACCGCGGGGCGGCCTGCCTACGTCTGCCTAGCACCGGGTCACAGGCGACCCGGCCGAAAAGCGGGAAAGAGCGCAGCGAGAGAAAGGAAGTTACTGGTGCCAAATATTCTTAACGTAAAATGTGGTAAGAATAAAAGTTGGAACCTACTATTCAGGACGTTGTCGCCTCCTGTTCTCGAGCCATACGCGCCACCTATCAACAGCACGATATTGCACAGTGTTAATGACAAGCACATCATCAGCATCATCAGCAAGAGCATTCAAACAGGCAAAACGGTCCCAAACTTTGTTCCTGACTTTACAACACAAAGCATCGTCTGGCGGGGCTGGCGGGGCTGGCAGGCTGGCGGGGCGGAATGCCTTGCAAGGTCGCAGCGGACGGCCATACCGGTCCAGGACGCCTTTTTTGTCAGTGACACGTGTCGGTGGCGTAATGAGGGGCATGGAGAGACCAAGTCGCTTGGCGTCGCTCGGGCGACGAACTGACGCCGCATACGTCAAGCCCTTTCTCAAAAGTCCACGCAAATGTTACATTTTGAAATCAAATGATGGACCTATTTGAGCGTACAGAGTCCTCAAAAACGTCACCTGCACGATTTTCCTGGCAATGGTAACGAAGAAGAAGGCAATCCTAGCAAAGCACTCATACACATTGCTTCATCGCCACACATAACCTCCCTCAAGTAGTGGGGTTGGTCGGCCTCTTAAAGCCTCCTTCATCGATTTTACAAATCGCTGTCCTTCGGCTTGGGGGGATTGGATTCACTCACGCACCTTGGAAGCGAATAACGCCAGCCTCGAGATCGATGGCCCCTCATCAAACGCGAGTGTCATTTGATGCTCGTACAAATCGCATCCCATCAGCCGGCCGCACAGCCCCGCCGACACGCACACACACACACTCTCAAACGGCGATCCGCGGCGACCACCCCAAAACACGCGTAAATAGCAAGACAAACACGTGTTGTGGCAGGCCGGGTGGGGCCGGGCAGGGCCCTCCACCCAAAGTAATGAGCGGCCATTTGTATCGTCGTCACTGCCAAGGTCACGGCGGCGGGGGACGCGCCGGGGCGTCGCGTCGGGGCGGCGAGGCGGCGGGGCTTGCGTCAACGCAGATTTGTTGCCCGTCGTCTTATCCCCCAGGCCGCAAGGGGTGGCCTGCGTGGGTGTTTGGTGTGTGTGTGTGTGTGTGTGTGTGGGCCTCATGGGGTTCTAGGACCAGCTTGTGCGAATCGCTCAGACACAAAACCTAAGAAAACTATTTCATTCATAAAATACATTATGTGAAACGGCTTAGAATCAATGCCAATTTCTGACATTCAAAACCTTTTCATTGAGACAGTTACTTTTTTATCAGTGATTTTTTTTGGGGGGAGGGGCATTTGCACGAAGAGATTGAATGAAATTCTAAGTACGAGTGCACACCCTTGTTTTGGCCAGACAATAATTCACAAGAATATTGAAACATTTCATGCTGATCTCGATGCGATTAACCCAACATTTATCAAACATTTGAAGCCATTTCATCAGGCAATGTCATCCCAAGGGGTCAACATATCTTGTTATTTGTTCTCAATGACACATGTTGGCAACGTGGTGAAAACCATGCAAACCGCCTTCAGCGATTGCTTCAAATTCACGAAGGCTTGACAGCTCGCCAAACCTGCAAAACGACTTCAACTTTTTTATCGGTGTTGCGAGAGAATGACACTGACCGCGCAATTTGCAGAAACAGCAGTAACAACAACAACAACAATAAGAGCGCGATCAAGGAGGGGCCCTGGGAACATGAATTGAATACCTCAACCTCAAAGAGTTGTATGGGGCTAATTTATTGCCAATGGCCACAAAGGGTCAGGTCCCTGCTCGCAGTGCTGCTCGCGGGGACAGAGTGGCTCGCCTTATGACTGGCATTGTTTGTTTCCGCAGAAAGATGGGGCAACTTGTCGAAACACTCAAAACAAAACCCGCCATTGTCATTGTGTGAAAGTGATTGGCACGGTAATGGCTCTGGACATGCGTGCCAACAGCCAAGCGAGAAACGCGTTCCCTTTCGTTTTTCAGGTGAATTCGCAGGCAGCAAGGACACACTACTTCACATGCACCAGCGCAGCAAAAAAAAAGCAAAAGAAAACGCAATGAAATAAAGACTATCCCAATCTTGTTCCGCGTACCTTCCCTGCCTCTTTATTGGCACTTTCGAGTCGGCCGCTCCAAGCAGGAGAAATATGATTTCGACGGTGTCCATACTCATTAAAGGCGCCTTTACAGCATCGTATTTTAGGGGGACTGATATTAAAACGCGCGCGGCGGTCGCGCCGCTGTAAAGTCAACATTGTCCGGGGTGGTAAAAGGGAGGTGCCGTAACACCTGTCCCGCTAATTTATACGAGAGCCGGGCTTCGTTGGCGATCGCACGGCTTCGCGCGCCATCGCATGGCGCCACAAATTTAAACGGAACGCCCGGAGGGGAATGGCAAACACACCTTGCCACGCTCCTTGCGCTCAAGGAAGCATTCCTCGGAGGACGTTCAGGCACAGACATACACGGGCACACACACACACACACACACACACACACATGCATCCACACAAGGCTACATACACCGTTTCCAGAAAACGGTAATGATAAGAACCGCGGAGAGTGGGTCAAAGGGAAAGAGGTCAGTCTTTGTTCACTTTGTGCGATCGGCACAAAGGGTTGGCCGGGCGTGGCTGACCACTGCCACTGCGTTTCATTCATGCGATCATTAGAGAAGAAAGCTTCACTCGACGAAAGTTCACAGAGTAACTTCCTCGCGAGGTGAGCTTTCCCAATGAAAAGGTGGCTTGGATTCCTCTATGCGACTGACTCCATCCTGCGTCATCGGCAAATTTCTTCGTTTTTGACTTTAATTGCACGACGTAGTGAACTATGCATACGGGAGAACTGGCCAAGCGTGGCTAGAGTCCTATCCAGCGGTGACTTGAACGCACGATCCGGGCTGAGCGCGACGCGCCCGCCTCGCAGGTTGCACCAGGTCGACTCCCCCCTTCCCAGAAGTGCATCTCAACTTTTTTAAAGTATCACAATCATTGCTTTTTAATTGCTGCTCTTATGCAGCGCCGTAAACGGCAACAACGTGGCAACCTGTTCCCTGTGCTCGTGCTCACACGCTCACACACACACACACGCACACACGCTCACACACTCGGAGAGCTGCAAGCCCCTAGCGACAGCACGGCAGGAGAAAGCCCAAGCGCACCCATTCGCGAAGGGCCCAATCCGGGCGCTAGGCGGGCCGCTTCGCGGAACGGCCGAGCGCAGTGGCGATAACTTTGGGCCGGTGATGCATGGCGCAGTGCCACCGCGTGGTCGACGTGGTCGACGTGGTCGGCGACGTCCGCGTCGTCGCGACAGGCGCCTTGTCTTCCCGGAACCATTCCGCGCTGACCCCTGTATCGTAAACAGCCTAGCGTCGGCAACAAATGTAGGCGCACGCGCGCCACGCAAGGCGCCTGCCAACCGCCGTGGAATGTATAAAAAGAGAGAAAAAAGACCAGCAAGTTTTGAAAAGGAACCCTAACAAAAAGGATTTTGTCAGCACTTGAAAAATGGAAATTTCCGATTTTTTCCTATTTTACTGAGTGATTTTTTTATTTTTACAAACTGAAAAAAAAATGAGAGTTCAAATTTAAATTGAGCGTGATTTTGATTTCCAATTTCATTGCGAATTTGAAACGGTTCCTCTCTCTCATATTTTTTTTGTGAGCTAGCGGTCGGCCTCCCCCGCTTTGTTAGCGCTAAACAGACAGTGAGATAAGGCCTCCAATAAGTCCCCCGCTGTCCAATCGGAAGTCGTTGAGGGCCCCCGAGGCTCCGCGGCCTATCGCAATGGCCCCATCGACAGCCGCCGGGCCGAGCCAGGGGCCGAGAGGGGCCGAGCAAGCTTGGGGGCCCGGCCAGCCCGCCGACCTTGCTATCGATAGCTGAGGCCGCCCACGCCGCGTCACGACATAAGGTGCGTGTGAGCGTGCGTGCCTGCGTGTGCGTGCATGTGGTGTGTGTGTGTGTGTGTGTGTGTGCTTGTGTGACAGAGAAAAGTGGTTGATTGACGCGCCCGCCCTTCACCCAGAAAAAGGGGGTTTATGGTATTTGAAACATTTTTTACCTGGCTTTCTTTCAAGACCAAAATTTTTGATTTTAAGTTAATTTTTAAATTAGGTGAAAATTACTTAATAAGAATTTACTTTTTTTTCAGCCACCAGAATGAATTGTCGATAATAATTTTAGTAATAATGACAATAAAGCCATCTAAAATCTGATTTTCTATTTACTGCTGAAAGGTCTAACAAGCCCTCATTGAGGGCGATTCATTCGAACGCGCGCAGCCGGGCGGATCAGAATTTGTAGGAGGGCGCGAAGCAGGGCGAGAGGGGCGAGAAGTAAACAAACCGAAACTCATTAGCACGAGCGCCACGGAAATAGCGCCAAACACGACGGCGACAAATTAAGGGGGCGTCGCGGCGGAAGCGCGATCGATACACGCGGCTGTCACGTCGCGTCACCGTCACACGGCGCGTCACGGCACGTCACGGCGTGTCACGCGGCGAGCGCGCGCGCCCAGCTGACAGACCCACAAATCGGCCCGTTATTTTTTTGACATTAGGAGGAAGAGGTGGCCTGGCCGCGGGCCGCGGGAACGCAGGAGGGGAGGGCTCGCCCATTTCATGATGAAAACGTCCCGGCAAACGACGGGGGCCGATTTGGGGAGCGATTCGGAGCCATTTGCACCGACGAGTGGCACGGGGGTCGTTTCCAACAGGATGGGCATCACTCCTGGCGACATTATGGCATGGAGTGGCAGGCAGAGAATGCTTCTAGAGCCCACACTCACGGAAACATTTCATTGGACCAGAGAAAAATTGAAGTTTTCACTAAAATTATTTTGACTCAATGTTAAAAATTGACATCGATTACCAAGCCGTTTCTAAGGCAATTATTTTTCATTAATTCAAAGAAAGTGTCTCCTAGGGGCATGAAATGCATCCTGCGATAGATGTAAAAAATACATTTGTTTTTTGCTCCAACTAATTTGCAGACAATATTCATTCTACAATGTACAGCATGCTTTACGTTTTTGATAGTTCATGTCCCTCGATTTGCAAGCAAATCAGCCACACACGTCACTCAACACAGTAATTTTTAAAATTGTCAACAGCAGCTCCCCGTGCTAATGACCCACTGCGAGCACTCCCGCCCGCTTTGCTAGCTATCCAAATGAGAGCACTCACTTGCGCCGGCAACGTGGATCTTCTTCATCCACGGGTAGATGACCCTGTCGCCGTCGCCGTCCTCGTCGCCGTCCTCGTCATCGTCCATGGTGAGCGGCGAGCCCATGTCGTCCGAGCCCTCCTCCTGGTCGTCGTGGTCCTCCACATCGTCCTGCTGTATATCCTGAGGCAGTTGTTGGTGCTGCGGGGGCGCGGGCTGCTGCTGCGGCAGCTCCTGCTGGCTTTGGGGTTGCTGGGGGGCGGCCGGGGGGCTCTCGGCCACCATGGGGGGCTGAAGGGGGGCACAGTTGCTGGCGGGGGGCATCGCCGCGGTCTCGGGGGGCAGAGGGGGAGGGGGTATTTGGTGCTGGTGGTGATGGGGGTGGGGATGGGGGTGGTAGTAGTTGCCCCCGTAGCCACCATATCCAGGGGCGTTGGTGGTGATCTGGATGGTGGTGGTGGCGGTGGCGCCGTACGGGACGGGGGCTGGGATCTGGTGGTAGCCGTACTGGTGGCCGTGGTGCTGGCCCTGCACATGGTGGTGGTGGTGGCCGAAGAAATCGGCGCCCGAGATGTAGTTGCTCTGGCTGTACTCCTCGGTCGGGGGGAACTTGGGGTCCACGATGACGGCCGGCGACTGGTGGTGGTACGTGGGGTTCATGAGGTAGGAGCTCATGGCGGCGCGCCGGCCGCGCTCGGCGCACTCACTGCAGCACTCTCACTCACTCACTCACACTGCACACGGAAAGGCTCACGCAGGCGCGCCGCGCTGCCTGCACTGACTTCCCTGGAGGGACTGAGGCGGGACGGCATCTCGCAGCGCGTCGACGGCGCGGCGTCCTGCCTCCCCCTCCCCCTCCCCCACTCCCCCACCACGCGCCAGGCCCCGCCTCGCAGCCGCGCCGGCCAATGGGAGAGCGGCGTCGGCGTTGCCGCGCACCATCATGGATCCGTCCCAAGCAGCGCCGTCCCTGCGTCCCTGTCCCTGCGCCCCGCCGCCCCGCCGCCCCGCCGCCCCGCTGCACCTGCCCAGCACCACCTGGCCGAGCGGGCCGAGCGGGCCGAACGGCGACAACCAGCGTCACTCTGTCTCTCTCGCCCTCGTGGGCTTTCCGCAGGGGTGCGAGAGAGACAGAGCGACTGAGTAGCAAGGGCCGCCAGGGCCAGGGGTTTGCGGGGGAATTGGGGCAGCCAATGAGGGTGCTTTCGCACGTCCTCAACGCGTCGCGAACACACGGCATGACGCGAGGGCCGTTCGCAGCGTTCGCAGGGACGAACGGAGGACGTCACCTTGCCGCGCGTCAAGATTGCGGAGGAAAGACAGCATCATAATGCAAATGCTCAAACTTTTTCCGAATTCCCGATAGCAAAACCGAAGCAAAACCACGATATTCGTTTTTTTTTGTTTTTGGTGTACCTGAGGGCCGTCTGTGCGGCGTAGGAGGGCGTAGGTTGGGGTAGGAGCCCAGCGCCGGTCTGCAGCGAAGGCCGCCTCGGGGTGACTTGCAGAAGTGCATCCAGGCCCTGCACACGCACACACACACACACACACACAGCCACACACACACGACGTTGGGGTCCACCCCTAAGCGGTGCGCTCAAAACTACAAGGGCCATAGGTCACGCGCCAGGCACCCAAAACTGGGGGAAAGTTTTAAAATAGAAACTTTTTTTTGACGGTCGAGGCATCAGCATGTTTTCCGTTTTTCCTCGCGTGGGGTGGCGCGCATCCCCCATGGCGGGGAAGGGGTTGCACGGCACGGCGGCTGAGGCACGGCTAGAGGCATGGCTGAGGGGTGGAGACGGCCCGCGTCGAAACGAGGACACGGTATCAACAACACGCACGGGGAAAAAGGAGGCGGCGCCAGAGGGCCGAGTCCGAACGGCGTTGTCGCCCTGTCTCTCTCGCGCTCGCGGGGAGTACCGCAGGGGTGCGAGGGAGACAGGGCGACGCATAGAGCAGTTCGGGAGCAAGCCAATGCATGCGGGGTGCATGGCATTGACGGCACCCTGCGCCTCCCTTTCTTCTTCTTCTTCTTCTTCTTCTTCTTCTTCTTCTTCTTCTTCTTCTTCTTCTTCTTCTTCTTCTTCTTCTTCTTCTTCTTCTTCTTCTTCTTCTTCTTCTTCTTCTTCTCCCTCCTCGCGCGCTCCCTCGCAGTGTCTCGCGGCTCCATTTGAGTGACAGGGAGACAAAGACGGTAGCGCCCTCTGGGTTCCCGAATCTCAGTTACAGCTTACAGGGCGCGACGCGCGCGACGCGCTCCGCGGGGCGGGGCGGCCGGGGCGGCCAGGGAGGCGCCACGCCAGGCTAGACTGACAGTCAAAACAGCGCGCCATCGGTAGGCGGAGTGCGAGCAGTAGGGAGTAACAACACCCCTCGAGTTTCCGGGAGCGCAAGAAGAAGGAAACGCAGACTTTTGCTTCAGAGTTCTTTCCGAAACGTAGGACGTCTGCCATCCGGCCTTCCGGTTGAAAAGTGTATGAAACTGTACCGAGGCGGCCGCGCGACGAGTCGGACGCAGTGGGACGTAGTCGGGCGCGGTCCTTTTGACGACAGCTGTTTATAAATGAACCGAAAGTCAGGCGACCCGCCGCCCCGACTGCGCCTGCCTGGCTTGCCGCACTGACACCGAGGCCGAGGGATATGGATGTGAGGTGCTGAGAGGTGCCATTCAGGCTGCAACGCCCTTCTAAGTGTTTCACTTTTATTTCAATTTTTTTTTTCGTCCGAGTCGACGGACAGACGAAAGCACCCCGCCTGACCCAGTTACACAACGCCGTGCATTAGAGATCTAAGCTCTGGTTATACCCTCGGTTACAGGCGGACACGCAGGGAGCTAGTGCACTTCCCTGTGGGCGGGCCACTGCTCTGCTCTAACACCGACCTCTTGAGCAAATCCCGAGCAGTTCGGGGGAAAGCCGTGCCGAGCCGTGTCGAGCCGTGCGCAGGGGTGCGGGGAATATCACCCTGCGAGTGCGTGTGTGTGTTCGTGTGTGTGCGTGTGTGTGTGTGTGCGTGTGTGCGTGTTTTCGCTCGAAGGGTGGAGCCGAGCGGCGGCGTAGAGGAGCTAGAGCGTTCCAGACTGTGACACTCTGACAAGCCCCTTTGGACCTCCCCCACCGGTTACCGCCTCCCTCCACGTCACAGACACACTCACACACAAGCTCACACATACACATCCACACACACAAAAACGCCAGCAAATTTCCAGTCAGAACAGTATTTTTATCGCAATTGGCTTTTCATTCCCATATACTTCTGAATGGAAATGCGAGGGGTCACGCAGGGGGTGGCGTTGCCATTGATTTCCTATGTGTGTGCGGGGCACTTCGTGCACAGCCTGGCCCTGGCCGGGCCTGGCCGCTTTCTCAAGGCTGCTGGAGTGGCTGCCAAGTATTTGCGGCCACAGCGCTCTCATCTCAGCGTTTTTTGTGCTTGCAGCTACACTCTTTAGTCAATAAAATTATCCGAGTGTTCTCTGCAGCTCACGAAATCCTCTTTGCGCCTTTGTTGAACAGACCAGCCCAAGACGAATATGGAAGCATTCCAGAACGGTTCCAGACCACATGCCATAAAGAAGCAAGTTCAGCGTGAGAAAGCCAGGGACTGCAAAGACACTGACGGCCTCGTCGGCGTCCTCAAAGTGGTGCCGGGACGGTCCGGGGCGGCGCGTTGTTTGTCGGCCTCCTCGCCGGACGGACGGGTCAGTGGAGGGACGCCGAGGGCAAGGCGGGGCCGGCCTGCCGTCCCCCGAGGATGGGCTGTCGGCCGCGACACGCCGAACCTTCGGACAGCGCGGCCGCGAGGCGGCAGAGCCTGCAGAAGCAGTGCGTGCAGCAGCACGCGGAGCCGTGATCATCGCGTCAGAGCGGGCTGGGTCGTGCCAACTTCCATCTCAGCTTGTTTCAAAACTTTATTTTAGGGTCTTGCGTGTGTAATTATTTTGTGTTCAAATCTTGCAGAAATTTTTCATTTCCGGCATTGTACTTTACAGTGAAAAATAACGTCGGTTGGAGCAGAGGACTAGCTTTCCCTGTTTCTCCTCCCCTCCAGCCGCAGTGGCCAGTGGTCGTTCTCAAATTAGCGGGCGCCATCCCAGGGGGCGCCCCGGACACCACCGGTCAGCCGCCCCCGCCCGCTCCAGCCCTCGCCAGCTCAGCACTTCGGCCTCCAGAGGGGCGGTCCGGCGCGGCCCGTCCCCACCTTTCACCGCCCTCAAGGTGGCCGTGCTGCTGCCGGTGGTACAGTCAAAACCGAAAGGAGGAAACTCACATCTTATTTATTTTTTTTGCGCGACTGTACCGCTTCTTTGAAGCACCGCCTTGCGCAGCCGCGCTTTACGTTTTATGGCGTCCCGGGGAACATTAGGCGACGCCACGCCAAGTTGCTCGCGTTGGCGCGCGTCACACGCAGCGCCCCTCACTTTGAACGTGTCGAGGCAAGCACGGTGCGCCCTTTCGGAGGCCTGTCTGTCTGTCTGTGCGTCCTTCCGTCTGTCCGTCCGCCGGTCCGTTCGACCGGCCGTCTGCCTTGTCCGTATAGTTGTCAGGGACGGGCGCATACCTTACAAGCATGGTAGGGCCAGTGGTCGAATGCCCCAACCCTCGGCGGCCCGGCCGGCCCGGCCCGCATGTCTCTCTCGCTCTCTTCTCTCCCCCCGTCCCGCCTCTCCCTCTCTTTCTCTCTCCACTCGCATTCATTGGCCTGTCTCCCTTTTGTATCATTAATCATATCTGCCCACCGGACACACAGCGCGCGAGCGGCCACCGTCTCTTTTCTCCGTCTCTCTCCCACACGCACGCACACACACGCGCGCACGCACGCACACACGCACGCGCACACACACGCGTGCATTACACAAATGCGAAAGTTGACAAACAAACACTACGACGACGGTACGTCCGTCTGCTCCAAGCCGAGCTGTGAAAAGCCACTGAAAAAGAACGATTATGAAAAGAATATAATCGGTTGTTCCAAAAAGAAACGTTAAAAAAAGAAAAATAGCCTCTTTGTTTGCAGGGCGGCGTGGGCGGCCCGCTGCTGAAGACGTGTTGGGCTAATCGGGGCGAGGGGGAGCACAGGCAATTAGCTCGACCAACGATTCGAGCAATTTTCGTAGCGTTTGTAACCAGCCATCCAACGTCACACTACTTATTTCTAATCTCAATCCCAGACACAACGCTCTTTTTTTTTCGGACAGAGTAGAAGATGTTGCGGAGCCGCCGCCGATTCCTCCCTTTATTTCCAACCGCCCGAGGCAGGGAAGTGCAATAAGAAGAAAAAGAAGGGTGTAAAAAAAGGAGATAGATCGGAGCGAAGTGGCGCAGAAATGGCGGCAAAGGGAGGCAGCAGCCCCGGCCATTGGAAGAAGGGAGAGATTAGAGGGGGTGAAGGGAGAGACGCGCCCGCAGACGCGCCAATGGAGCGAGGCCTCGCCGACAGCCGCGCAAACACGCACGCACACAACGCGCGCCAAGACACACTTATTCACACACACACATACACACACTGACAAATCTTAGTTTGCGCAGGTGCTCGTTGGAAAATTACCATTGGCCAAATCTGCAGTTCGGCGCTGTGGGTATTTGCCGCACAAATTTGTCGGCGGTCGCTTTGATTTTTCAATTTAAAAAAAAAACGAAGAAGAAGGAGAAATAGGATTTTTGTTGCCGCTATGGCGTATTGCTTTCGTGTTTGGCGCACTGCTATTAGACTACAGAGCCGGGCCGCTCCACGAGGGGTTGCTAAGTGCGCACAAATTGTGATAGATCCCTTCCATCT